TTTTATACATAAAGTATTTTTAATGTCAAATTGATATATTTGATTATTATTTGATGTAGGGATTCTATTTTGTTTTGTTATGGTGGTTAGAGACATTGCATTTTGATTAATTCATTATCACAACTTAATGTCTCAAGGAAGCTTCATGGCATCTTACATTAATTAATGTGTTATAAAATGAAATAAATCCCACCCCATTACATATATAATTTTCGGCCATCCCAATTTTAGAGAGAAGAAAATTTTATTTTGTGTTCAAAGTTATTTTTCTAAAGTGTTAGAAATATACACAAAATATTGGAAACAAATATTTATAAGATAAATATTTTACTATATATTTATTACTCCCAAAGTAGTATAATTATAGTTTTTACTATCCTATATTAAACTTGCTAGCACAAGTTTAATCTTGGACTCCGGAGCAAGTTCGTGTGGATACGTTGGAGGCTTCATACGTTTGGCGCTACGTTCATCTCCTCAAAACCATCCCCGACCATTCCTCCATTCTCCGTTTTCACCGTTAAGGTAAATTTCTTACTATAGCTAGTAATTTACGTAAGTTGTTCTTGGGTGAAATCGAGTTTTGGACTATAAATTTTTGTTTTCCGCTGCGTTATCCAAACCTCGTTTCCCAACAACGAGTCCATCGGAGTCTCCAATGTCACCATCGACGGGCTAAGAGGTAACCTCAAAACTTATGAATCTACTATTCTAACCCCGTCTTTGGATGAACAAAAGAAGAAAGGAATAGCACTCAAAGCAACCAAGGAGACCATAGAGGAGGTTTCAAGCGATGATGACAACGAATTTGGACTTGTCATCAAGAAGTTCCACAAGTTCATGAAGAAGGAATTTGAGCGGAAGGGACGGAAGCACGACGGTCCTCCCAAGTGCTACGGTTGTGGAGAGATTGGCCACATCAAGCCAAGGTGTCCAAAAGCTAAACATGGCAAGGATAAGCCCGGCTTCAAGAAGCAAAGGGCTTACATCTCTTGGGGTGGCGATTCCCGCGACGAATCAACCGACCAAGAGGAGGACGAAGCTGCAAATCTCTACCTCATGGCGCACGAAGATCAAAACGACAACGTCCAAAAGGTATGTACCATGTCTTCCGACTCCTATACTTTTGAAAAAATGCAAGAAGCACTTCATGAACTTTATGAGGAATTTGTTAGCGCTTCTAAAACAAATAAATCCTTGAAGAAACGTCTTTCCTCACTTGAAAACGATTTTGAAAAATTGGAAAAAGAAAATGAAATACTTAAACAAGAAAACAAATTTTTTGGAAAAAGAAGCGCTGACAAACCAGAAAGCTCATCAAGTGAATGTGGGTCTTGTAAAACTTTAAAAGAGCAAGTCGCTAAACTTGAGAGCACGGTCAAGAAATTTAATACTCCTCACAAAGACTTAAATTTACTTCTTGAAACTATGCATTTTTCGAAGGAAGGAATAGGTTTTGATAAAAATAAAGTTAAAGATAGTGTTGCGCCACCACCTAAACAATCATCTAAGGTTCAACATAAGAAACCTAAAAATCAAGATAATAGAAAACCTAGTCAACCTAAGGACACTAGACAACCTAGACTAAAACCTAGGAATGAAAATGGTCATGGTAGACAACCTAAGAAAAATGATTTTGTGCATAAAAATGAATTTTCTCAAATTAGAAGAAATAATGCTAGAGCACCTAGAAAAGGC